TTGATGAGTTTAGACTACGTACCGGACACGATTGCTTGGCAAAACACCTTCACAGATTGGGAGTAAACACTCAACCCACATGCCCTCTGTGTAACCTACATGAGGATATGGAGAAGACCCACCTTATTCGGTGTCCAGCCCTAAAGACAACAACGGAAAGCCAGAGATACTGGGAAGCAAGAAGACTGCTAATGAACTGCTATTAATTAACTGCTATAAATGTACTCCCCCCTCTTGGGGGAAGCTGAAGTTAAAGATTAAGGGCTAATGATAGATATCATAAAGCCTGCCATTTGAAATAAATGATGAGGCAGAAGCAATTAGTTCTTTTTTAATGAATAATTTTTGTCAGGATCAAGAAGCCTTTCACAGAGAATAAAGTTAAAGTGTCACTTCTCAGACCACGCAGAAACGAGTTCCCCAAACTCTCGTATTCTTCGGGAGAGTGTTCCTTTACGCTTCCAACTCTACCTGGGAAGACATGATAAAATTTCTTCCCACTCGTCTTGGTAATGAGAGCTCAAAGTTGAACTAGGTTGACCATTGTAGTAGTTAAGCCCTGGATAACGATAGAAGGTGGCCAATAATAGGCCATAGGTATGGTGGCAACAGGGTTCGTACCCTTGCAATGCATCAAATAAGAATTAAAAATGGTTTTCAGGCTATTTTTTACGACTACACCGATTCCATTGAGTGCTTGACCCCGAACGCCTCTCCGCCATCCAGATCTTAACTTTTATTGCGCAACGTGGAAATTAGCACTAGTATACGTCTCATTACTTCAAAACCTAAATAGTTAATAAAGAGAGATAAAGGTTAAGATCATCGTGTTCAAGGTTCTAGGGACGGGTATGAAAGGAGGCTGTAATGGACCCCAATGACAAATATTTTGCCAAAACTCTTTGACCTTTTTACAATTTCTTTGCCTATTGAGTTTTCTTTAGATCTATTTAATATTTCAGCGCTAAAGAAAATATAACTCAAAGCTGCTATAACTGAAGGCAAATATGTTTGCGCATACTGTTATCGAATTGTCATTTTAAAAGTGAAGCCATTATAAATTAATAAAGAATGATTAATTTGATTGTTGTAATTCTTAGTCTAGGTTGTAAATGTGAGCCAATAAAAGTGCGTCTGACAATTCGATAAATTCAATAGATACCGAACACGTTAAAAACGATAACTACTCTATTAGAGGAAAATGTCCTTTTTGGCAAAAAATAAACACTTTACTGGGTAAATAATGCTTCTTCAGATGCGACTACAATTCCAAGATAAGTGATCATGCACATGTGTTTAGTAACGGAGCTCTTTCACTCACAGCCAATCAGTGACGCATGAATCAAGGCTGACTTATGAGAATCATGGTCACAAAACGTGATTTTGAGCCCATTCCATCGCCACGTGTGCTTTTTGCTAGATTTCGAGGTCATAACTATACGAGTAGTTGGCAGTTGATTGGTGCCGTTGTAAGTGATCCTCGTTACAATGTGCTAAATGCGCAACTACAATAGAATGTAAACAAAGTTAAATCGTTGCAATTAAAAAGATATTCATCTAAATTAATTGCCAAACTATGTGGTCACTGGTTCACGGCAGTTTCCAAAAATCTTAAATATTTCCATCCTAAATGGACTCTAGAAGAATGGAGTATAAGACGCTTTGTAAACAATAGCCTTTCTACACTTTGTTAGTATCGGGAAGTCTAACTTCTGCGTCCATAGCCGATACGTCCATTAAACCTTCGGCTATATTTGACGCAGTTATATTTGATGCAGTTATCTCAAAATGTTTTAAATGGACAAAGTCTACGAATTACTGCTTTTGAAGTTCAAAACACCAATGCACTGTAAACGTTTTGTCTCGAGTGTCAAACCCTATCTCTCAGAAGTTTGAGATCGTAATGTAAAAAGGACGGTGGATTTAAATTTGGACAACAAGCTTGATTATTTGCTATTGGGAAGCAAGGCTAATGAATTCACTATCTCGTTTCTTTGTCATTTCCTTCAAGTAAACATTCTTCTATGGAGATGAGAAAGTGTTAGCTAAGTTGATTAAACCCTCACAAAATATGTGATTTTTGAGTAAACTAGCTTGTTTTGTCATGAACAAGAGACCCTGATGAAATATTTCAGTGAGTACTGAGGTATCTGAGTCCTAGTAACAATTAATTAAAAGTACATGTATCGGCCCAAAAATTATGAAAATAAACAAATTCGGTTTCGACTTGAATTTGATTTAGATTAACTCAGTAATAACTGGATGTGGCCATGGAATGAGCGAAACTTGAAAAGTAATTTCGCTTTCACAGATCTGATTGTTTGCACTTTTCATTAATCAACTTATTTCCCAGAAAGATATCGAAATTGCAATAGCTACTAAAAAGTTCGTTTTGAGCTTGAAACTAGGTCAATGGACAGCTTTTAAAATTACTGATCAATCATTGTTCATAATTGAAATATGATTATGAGGCATTTGCTGATGATGTTTGAATGGCAAGCCGAAACCTTTACGTATTTAATCAATAATTCCCGCTCTGAAAAGGAAAATATGACGATTTTCGTGTTTTATTCGTGGAACAGTTAACGGACAGCATGAGTCATCGGCAAAGGGAAGAGGAATAAATTGGAGTATTACCATTACTTTTACTTTAGAATTCTGATACTGCTGATGCAACTTGTGTTTTTTAACCCAAATCTGGGTTTGTTCTTAGTAGATCGAATGATCCAACTTTATGTATTCATTTTTTGTAATAAAAAACGTTAACTTTCACTCTAAAAATCCGAATTTTGTCCTCGAAATGTGATATTAACTTTCTATTGGAGCGCAGATTTGCTTGCCATTAATGAAGACGATTTTAATGTAATGACAGAAGCTCCGGAATATAAATTAGCATTTCCATCATTAACCAATTCAGACTAGTTAGTAGTTTAGCGGAAGTCTAGCCGATTCTATCTCGACAATTATTACGTCTATTATTTTGTCTTATTCAAAGACAGCCAAATACTTATTAATTCCCCCTGTCACTGCCCTTGATGTAAGTAACCTCTAGTTTTTAGTTTTTTTGTTTTCAATCAAGAAGCCATAGTAAAGTGATCTTTAGAGAAGCTGTTTCTGCTTAGAAAAGCGGGAAATTTGAGGGTCAAATTTAACCTCATGTATGCTTGAAAGACTAAAAGAAGCCTGCTTTGATGAATGCTCTTGCCGGAATCCCGAAAATCTGAGATGCGTACGGTTGTCAGTTGCGCAAAATCAGGAGATATTGAAGACACTGAATTTCATTCAAGCGATGAAGGCAGTTTTTGCAACCACTGCTTCGCAAATTTCTCGCTAATCAAAATAGTGGCAACGGCGTGAGGGGCAATATTCTGACTCATGCCAAACAAGACGATGCGGGCTAATTTTGCTTCAAAGCGCGTGGAGAACGCGCGGACATACTAATCACCCTATTTCCTTTGCCAACTGAAGCTGATTGGCTAGTCCGTAGCGCGTACGGCAAAATATGACATCCAGCTATCCCTTTTATTGAAAATGACAACCAGTTTAGACAAGGTTATTTGATAAATCATTTTTTAACAGCTTTTATCAGGTACAATTATGGAAAGTGCTATATCATGTTGCTATTTTCTAATTACATGCACGAGAATATGCAACATTATATGTTCATTCGAATAATCATTCAGAATCATCCAATCAGTGTGCGCCATTAAGGCAAAGCATATATATCTAGCACAACCTCGCGCTGTTGCACACTTTTATACGGGATGTCTGCTAAGGACTTGACGTACACGGAAGAGGGTTCTGGGTACGGGAGTCGTCACGAGGAGACCCCTAAAGGATGTTGGGCAAAATTTGTAAAGATTATAAAGGACAATCTTTTCATGCTTCTCATTCTTCTTGGTGTAGCTGTGGGCTTCGGAATTGGATTTGGTCTTCGAGCGGCTACTGACTCTCCCATCGCCGTACAGTGGGTCGGTAAGTATAGAAGTTATATTTTAAGCTCAACCATAATTACCAACTTCAATCCTCATATTTTGCTTACTTCTCGAATTTAATTCCTCTATATCCATATTTCCTTAATTTTTACAAGAAAAATATTCGCTCGGATAATTTATTAAAACTGTGTATTGATTTACAAACGTATTTCTATTTTCACTTACTATTTGAATATTTGTTGATTGGATTTTATAGAACTCGTCGGTAAATTGTATATCAACGTTTTGGATCTCACTATTCTACCTCTGATTGCATCAAACCTTATCTTAGGTACGTGATGTTCTCTTTGCAAGATTTAAAATTCGCATCAAACTTCACTTCAGCAAAAATATGTTCATAGGGCTTCTTAAATAAGCAGGATAACTTTTCATGCCAATCTTGCTAGGATTAAGTTCATAAATCTTCAGGTGACCGATCAATCACCCTTTTTTTATTTCCCTGCACAGTTGTTGCCAGAATCAATCCCAAAGAACAGGGTATAACCAGTGTTATAACTCTACTTTTCATAATTGGAATGAATGTTCTTGGTGCTGCCATTGGTACAGCTACCTCAGTCTTAATCAAGCCAGGTGCAGGAGTTGGCAAGGCGAATGAAACGGAAACTGATGACCCCAGACTCCGACCCACAACGTCAGATGTTTTTGCAGATCTCGTTTTAAACATCTTCCCCGACAACATAGTCGGAATGTGTGTTCAACAGGTGATTTGAACTGGACTCATTACCACTTTTTTTACTTTTCGTTTTGAAATCTCAAGTTCTGATTTTTGCTTTCGTCCAGACAAAAACTTCATATGCTTACGTCGAAGGAACAAACAATACGGAAGTTAAACGTATTGTTGGCACAAATGGATCAAAGGACTTGATTGGTGGGTGGATTTCTCACTTTTATTGCGACTCACTGTATTAGCAAACCTACGTTAGTTGGGCTATTTTACTCCCTTCAGGTATTCTCCTCGTATCGATTGCCTTCGGTTTGGCTGCTCGAGGAGCTGGAAAGAGTGGCAAACCTTTTCTTGACTTCTTCGAGTCTCTTTGTGAAGTTACTCTTAAACTCGTCCGTGCCTTCCTTTTGTACGTATTTTTTCCTCAATTTAAAATACTTTACCATCTAAGATGCATTAATAGGTCTAGACTTGTTGTGTTAGAATCTCTGTAAATTACGGGGCCGCGTTGTCGCTTCATATGTGCTAATGGCAGTAGGTCATTCACTAAAAAATTTTCACATTTATCATCGTGAGTAACTCTTAATACTATAGACTATTGATTAATCAGCCGCTTAATTACATAGGGGAGGAGAGTTGCTTCAAGAGTCAATCAGGTTGGGATCATCAAATTGTGGTTCTAAAAGGCTTTCCATAAATTAATTATGCAAAATTCTAACTTTTATGGTTCTCTACTCCACTGGAAAAATACATTGAGCTGCCAAGCCTAACCGATAAACAAGGGATAGTGGTCCAGATTTCAAGTTGTCCGAATTTAACTGTTTGGCGGTTGTGATTTTAACAGTGATTGAGGGGAATTTAGGTTAGCATTAGGTCGGCTGATCTTGGGATCACTTCATGCAAATTGTTTGCTACTAACCAATTTTAGAAAAATTTATTCCTTCTCCCTAGTTTTAAGATAGAACTGTTGAAATCAGAACAGAAGTAGTTGTTCGTCCCAACCAGATTCCCCCAACCAATATTTTGATTTTTCTTAAGGTTGACGCCTATCGGTGTATGCTTTATGATCGCCGGTGCCATAATGGGCGTCAAAGACTTGGCAACCACCTTCTCCAATGTTGGCATGTTTGTGGTTACCGTGACCGTGGGTATTGCTATCCTCTTCATTCTCATAATCCTCATCCACTTCCTCGCCACCTTCAGTAATCCCTTCCCTTTCCTCCCTCGAACCCTCAAAGCTTGGTTCATCAGCTTTGCAACAACCTCTCCGTAAGTGGACTATCAGCCGGCTAAAATTCACCAGAACCTAAGTGCGGAAAGATGGCTGATTTTGTTTTTTTTTAAACAGCATCGTCTCCCTACCTGAAATGTTCGAAGGTTGTGACGAATATGGGATTCGAAAAGAAATCTCACGATTCTTTTGCCCTATTACTACAACTATGAAATCTGATGGGCCTGCTGTGTTCATTTCCTGTGCTTGCATGTTTGTATCTCAGATGGAATTGGGTACTGTGCCCGCTACAACTGTTGTGGTTATCTGGTAAGTGATTCGCTTTGTAATACATTCCATCCTGTTTGATGACTAGGATTAATTGTTCATAACAAATTGTAGGCTGTTGACGTCTGTATCGGTGCTGGCCATCCCCCACGTACCTAGTGCAAGCATCCTCATTGCCATTACCATCTTGAACTCAGCGAACGTACCAACAACGAGTGTCGTCTACCTCTACGCCGTAGATTGGTTGCTGTGAGTCGCGTTTCTCTTAAACCGTCAACTCTTCTTCCCCCCTCACCTAATTGTTGCCATCTGTTTCAGTGACCGCTTTCGTGCGGGCGTTTCCACAATAGTGACCATGTATGGCGCAGCCATACTTCAGGGCTTCGCTGACAAGAAAGCATCGAAAGCCCGCTATGATGATGATGGTTATGTTGTAAAAGAAGATAATGTGTTTCTACATCAGGGATAACTTTCTCTGAAGTCGCTCTGAACACACGTACATAATTTAATTGACTGGGTAGTCAACGAGCCGTATAATAACAACTCAACCGTATCTCACTCGCATTGCTTTCTAACTTCCTTCTAGAGTGATAGCTGTATTGGTTGTTACTATTGGTAATTAGGGTTTGACATGCTCATTGAATGTGTTTAGTGTCTGCTTAGGACCCGACGTCCTGTTTTCGCCAATGAAGCATCCACTTGTCTAACTCACTTTATCCGCGCTAAACTCTTAAAATACGCTTGGCATAAGAGTTAACCGAGTATTCATCAGTGGAACTGGTGGTAGGGTATTATTTTGCGTCTTCAGTTCTGTATTTATTGTTTCTTTTATATTATTTCAGAGACCGTTTCCGAGCCGGTATCAACACCTTAACCGTCATGTATGGAGCCCTTATTATTGACAGCAGAATGTCCAAGAAACAGCAAGCGGTTGCTTTTTCTGATGGTGACGTGGTGGTGTCTGGTTAATTGGTTCACTGTTTCCCATTTTTCAAACCACTGTCCCGTCTTGTATACTACCTATTCTTGCTGCTCTTGTACTTAAATATACTCATTTTAGACGGTTGTGGGATTAAGACGTTCTAACGCCGCTCTCTATGTAATATATATTCATCGTCATTTTTTTCGATTAGCAAATTAGGACTCAGTGTACAAAATTATTTCCTTGCAAAATCCTGTTTTTGATCGGACTTTCTGTCTGTTTGATTATTTGGGAACGCAACACATTCTCCTGCGAATAACATTTTGTTTAAGGGAAGATAGAACGTGATTTGGAGCAACTTTTGCCAAAATTGCCCCCCCCCCCCTCGAATCATCAAAAATCGGTACGTGTGCAGAGGTGACTGGTGGCATTGCTAACTGTGTGTTGATTAATTTATGCGAATTACAAATTAATTAGTGACAAGCACTTTGTAAATATAAGCATGTAAATTTTATTAAAAAGCGCAGCAGTGAGTGTCAATAAAACATCGACTAATGAATGCATAAAAAGGGGCCGTTTAGGTGTGCAAAATGTAAAAAGAGGTTTATCAATTAATAAATCTGTCGATTTCTCGATTTATTTTGGCAATGATGTGGTTTATTTATTCTACCTCCAAAATACCGAGACACATTCGAATTCCTAACTCCGTCTCAATGTTTGATAGAAACTGCGCCTAAGTAAATTGGATAGCTTCTCCCTGCCAACTTTTAGCTAATTAAGAAACGATATTAAAATAGATGCAAAGGGTTGAAAGTGACTGAAATTTCAAATAAATCCCATCATAACTATTTTCTCTTGGTAGTTGGCTCCCTGAGTTAAAAATAGCAAATATTTATTTATATCAAATGGCAGGCGTCTTGATGGTTATCATTAGCCCTTTAGTTGACTTCAGGCTTCACAGAGAGGAAGGAACATCAAATTGAAAAAAATCGAGAGGGGGGGGAGAACAGAAGAGTGTTTCAAAGATATAAGAGACAAACACAAAGGTAGAACAAAGATGAGATGAGTACTGTGAAAATAGTTGAATATAGCATAGAGTGAGGTGATGGTAGTTTGAAGTGAGAAGTCAACTGCCAGTTAATAGACTTTTTTGCCGTATAAATATACGTAGCCCAGGGTGCACCACGTGGAGGTAAGTCTATCACACACCCCAAAATAGCAAATATAATAGAGGGGAAAGTGTACCGACAAAATAATTAATTAGAATTCAACATGCGATACACCATGCGCATTTTTCTATTTGACCCTCATATTTACCAGGGTTTTGTTTCCTGCGTGTGTATGTTTAAGCTAATATCATTGGCATTATCTCTTTTTGGTGAAAAATTATACAGTTTTGACATTCTTCAGAAACCTCTCGTTCGTGGGAGTGCTAAGGGAAAATATAATCGAAGAAACATAGATGAATCTAGCTTGTCTTTTATCATGCCTTATCATTACTGATCATTAGATATGATATAAGCACAGATTATCTTCTTCTATCCTCTGCAGTTAACCTGGATTAGTCGATAAAAATCGGAATGAATACAGATCTTTGGGCTTGGAATCCAGCATCTTTTCCCAGTTCGCTCTAACTGGCCTTGAAAGCTAGTTCCCAAATGGATCCTCTCACAAGGGCCGGAACTATGTAAAAATACTTGTTTAAAAGAACTGAATTTCCCAATTAACTTTTTAATTTTCATCAGCTAAAACGAATTAAAAAACCAATAAACCTCCGTTTAAATATCATTCAAATGATTATTCTAATTTTAAGTAAAGATAAAAGTGTTGTAGTTGTGTATATTTCGAAACTCAAAGTTAAAAGTGTAGCAACCATTATTTCTATTCTAGAAAATGAAAGATTAAATTTAATTAAATAATTACTTTGCAAGGCGATCTTTAACAAAAAAAAGAATCTTGAAATTCTATACCTACCTAAGGGTACATGAAACACACGAATAGTAATTGAGATTTAACGATTTTCAGTCCTTTTGGTTGCTCAGATGCAATTAATTCAGTCTGTAATCACATCCAACGTTTCCTTTGTAATCCAAAAATGAATAGTTTCTAAAGGTAAGTTTAACAGTACTGTACATTCTACAACAAATTTTGATCTTTGGAAACAAAGTCTCTATGACAATTAGATGGTTTCGGGGGTGTTGGTGGAGGGTGGGGGGAGAGGTTGAATTTTATTTATTTATTTATTTCAAATGGCAGGCTTTATGATATTTATCATTAGCCCCCCTTAATCCTTTGACGTTCAGCTTGCCCCATGGGTAGGGGGTACATATATAGCAGTTAACTAATAGCAGTTCATTACACCCAGGGGTGGGGGGTGCATATATAGCAGTTAATTAATAGCAGTTCATTCTATCATTAGCCCTTAAACTTTGACTTTAGCTTCCCCCAAGGGTGGGGGGGGGTACACATATAGCAAAGAATTAATAGAAGTTCATTAGCTGTCTTCTTGATTTCCAGTTTCTCTGGCTTTCCGTCGTTGTCTTTAGGGCTGGACACCGAATCAGGTGGGTCTTCTCCATTTCCTCCTGTAGGTTACACAGAGGGCATGTGGGTTGAGTGTATACTCCCAATCTGTGAAGGTGTTTTGCCAAGCAATCGTGTCCGGTACGTAGTCTAAACTCATCAACGGCTTCGATTCTTGGCCAGTCGTGTATGTCGGAGAGTGCCGCTCTC